GGGTCTATCGAATAAAAGATTTATCGAATTGCAACAATGGAACGGAAACATCGATTTTTTTCTTACATTACTACTTTGTGCATATTTTCGTAAACACATATTTTAACAGTGAGGTATTTTATACCCCCAATTTTTTGGGAAAAATGTCTGAGTCCGTTCGTCTAACAAACGATGATTTTCGTAAGCTCTTGGCCACACCACGTCATCCACCACCAGGTAGTACTCCTTCGATAAATGCCACAACTGCTCCTTCGTCGTCAACGGAAAAGAAAAAGCCACAAGGTACCAGTAGTGAACGTAATGATTTGCGACGAAAAAAGAAAAACTTTTATGCAGCACTTAAGAAACAAGAAGATGGCAAGTTACAGCAGCTTTCGGAAAAGTACCGCGATCGAGCACGTGAACGTCGTGATGGTGCTAACCCAGATTATCAAAATGTTAGCACTCCTGGTCACAGTAGTACCAATGCCTATCGTGCTGTTGCTCCTGATTTGAAATCAGGCATTGATGCCGCAGAACGTCGCCGTAGAATTATTCAGGAATCGAAATTCTTGGGTGGTGATATGCGGCACACTCACTTGGTAAAAGGTCTCGATTATGCACTTTTGCAAAAGGTTCGATCTGAATTGCAAACCCAAGAGGTAGAAGAACAAGCTATGGCTGTAGCGGCAGCAACTGAAAAGTTGGCTGAAACCGCAGCTGCTGAGCAAGCTGAAGTTGAGTCCAAAGACATAGATGACCATTTGGCTATTAAAAGTGCTATGGCTCGTAACATTTTTAGTTTAGTTCAAGCGCGCCGATCAAAAGATGTACCCCGAATTGAACTCTTTGCTCCCGGCCGAATGGCCTACGTTATTGATTTGGAAGACGAACTGAATGAAAGCGATATACCAACAACTTTAATTCGTTCAAAATTTGAGGTTCCCGTAAATCGTGAAGATATTGCCACACTTACAACCAATGACATCGTCATAAATAAATTGTCACAAATTCTCTCCTATTTAAGAGCTGGTGGCCGCAATAAGAAAAACAAGAAGCGTGACAAAGATAAGCCTCTTTTTTATGAAAAAGAAATGGAACAATCAATAAACATGATTGGGACAGGAGTACATGGGATTACGACTTCATCCGGTAAACCACTGGGTGATAGCATATATGACGATATTGGAGACTATCAACCGAGCTCCAAGAATGAGACTGCTAAATTGGACAAAAATATCCCGAAAGTCGCAGCTGGCACATATTTCGTTGATGCCAAGGGTGTCGAGGACACAGAGCCTTTGATTACCATACCACCGCCACCTAAGATTACAAAAACTATAGCCTCACGTTTTACCAACGAGCCTGAAGGTTATGCTGAGTGCTATCCCGGACTAGAAGAAATGAATGATGCCATTGATGATTCAGATGACGAAGTGGACTACACAAAAATGGATTTGGGAAATAAAAAGGGACCAATCGGACGATGGGACTTTGATACCCAAGAGGAATATTCCGATTATATGAGCACCAAAGAGGCTTTACCGAAAGCAGCATTTCAATATGGTGTCAAAATGCAAGACGGAAGACGAACACGGAAAAACAAAACGGAAAAAAGCGAAAAGGCCGAACTGGATCGCGAGTGGCAGAAAATTCAGGTGAATAAAACAAAAAAAAAAACAAAATGTTATCCAGTCAAACTACAACGTTTTCTCTAATTTTAATTTATTGAATTCTTTTTCAGAATATTATACAAAAAAGAAAATTTCCTAAAGGAGGTGCAGACGAACCTGATTACAAAGTTGCAAAATATTAATACCCTAAAAATAGCAAAACTGAATAATACAATATATATGTATACCAAACTTACAGAGAAAAATTGCAAATATTTACCTGTTATTTTGATTTCGAATGTGAGTATAAACATATTAACAGTTAAATTAAAACATCCTTTCTCAAGCTCGAAAAAAGTAAATCTTATTATCGATTAAAATGTTAATTGCGAGTCTTTTTGAAATTTTTTCAAAGGCTGGTTTAATAAAAACTTCAATAACTTTACCGATTTAGACTTATAGGGTATCATTGGAAAGGTATTTTCTCACCCTATTTTCGAAGCATGAAAGAGAAATGTAGGATAAACGAGCGTCATTCCAAATTGAATTAGGGGGTGTTCATATTTGAAATATTTTTACGCAGATTTTTAAGTAATAACAAAGGATTTCATTTTTTAATTTGAATATGGGTATTTTTAAACTGGCGTGACGTGACACATGTATAACAAAATGTCAAAAAAAAATGAAAAGGTCAAAATTTTAAAAAGGTTTACCTAGATAACGCCGGCGTGACGTTACAAAAAACAGAAGTGAATTTTGACTTCGATTACAAAATTGCAAAACTCTGGGAATTGAGCAAAACTATTTATATACAAGTTCTTGTAGTATTATTGGAAATCTTTAAGTTTAATTTTCCAAGTTTTTGAATGTTGAAATCATTTCTGCTTTTTGTTTAATCAGCTGAATTATCTGACGTGACGTTACCTGGCGTTACGTTATTAAAATTTCCATTGAAAAAGTTTTGTTAATATTGTTCTTGAAATAATTTTTAACGGGAAGAAAACATGCATTTTATGTCGAGCGACCTTTTTATTTTGACATCAGCGCCATCAGCGGTTCCGTGTTTTGCAAATCTAGGTCTTATTCCGCTTCCAATAAACATGCCAAATGTGAAACAAATCAGAGCGTAAATAAGGTTTTTTCAAAATATCTCGACCCTGGCGCCACCTAACGAGACTATTTTTGGCAAAAATTTCTCTGCTTCCATAAACAAAATATGAAAGCTATATACAACACTTTTATTTTATTTTCACCATAGTCGAAGATACATATACATTTTGGTGCCGATTGAAGTCGCTTAAGGCGTTTCGCACAGGGCTCAAAGTTCAGATTACCCTATGAAGACGTCTTAACCGATTCCAATCGGGACCAAAATTCATATGCGATATCCTCGACTTAAGTAGTATAGATTTCGGGGACTTAATGAAAAATAAAATATTTTGAATTTTTTAAGTGCATAGAGGCATCTAGCGTTGGACCCCTTTGCGACACGCCTTAACCGACTGCAATCAGGACCATAATTAATATGCGATACCTTCGACGCAACAACAACCACATGGAAGAAGAAAAGTTCTGAACAAAAACGATGAATCCGCCTTTAAGGCTCAATATTATCGAAATAGATAAGTATTGAATATGTGCATGTAAACAACGATGGGAAAAACTAGAGCTAGAGTTCGCTTTTCTTTAATGGAAATTAGGATTTTTTACATATTTGGAATTTCTATGATTTGTGTTGAACTTGTTGTGATCTCAGGATTGAGTTGGATGAAGATTCAAGAAAGTGGTTGTTGATGGGTGCTGGGCGGCCACCGTCGTGTGCTGAAGCTGGTTCGCACTATGCCGCGTTGTATAACGTTCAAAGCTTTTGTGCGGTAATTTTTCGAGAGTGGAGGGCCTAACGGGCTTAACGTCGTTTTCCCAACCGAGTAGGTGTCTTCTCACGGGTTTGGGTGGCGGTTCGTTGCGAAGCAGAGATTTGTTGGGATGGTTATCAGTATGACATTACAAGAGGAACTGTTTCGTTTTTGCATCTGTGTTTCGTAGTATACGTAACGTTCCGAAGAAGTCTGCGAATTTTTTTTAGATGTCCCGGCTGTTTACCGCAATTTGATTCCACCCACACTTGCATAGCGTATCTCACCGCCGATTGGCCACTCTCGTTTAATTCACGATTGAAGTTTCCTACGCCGCACTTCAAGTGCTGTCAGCAAGTAATTTGACGATCTTCTGTCGCCCACAAGACTTATTGCAAATGGTAGTGGCGTGCAAGCTGTCGAAAGTGGCGCCAAGTATTTTGGAGTTATGATGCCGTGATGATGCCGTTTTGTTTATATAAAGAGTATGGAGGCTGATTTACCTGCTGTGACGAATCTTCCATGCCAGTAATCTTCTCACAAACTGTGCCGATGGTTTGGCTCGTACACGAAATAACACAGTCGTTTCTAGCTCTTAGCTTTGCGGAGATCGACCGACGACTCCGCACAAATAATCGATGATCCACACTACAGCGGCCGATCTGAAAGGGACGAGCTTTCGTGTTATTCATCAACGATGAGGAAATGCTTATTCCAGCTGGAGAGGTAAAGCCAGCATTGTCTTTGCGCGGTGCCGGGCTTGAGAGGGATTCAACTGTTATCTACAACTTGCTGGCTCCCCTGAAGAGATTTCAGTTTTTAAGATGCTCAGTTCACATTGCCCGCCTCTATATTAGTAGGTTGAAGGCTTAATTTCCATATTGCTATTGGGTTTGCTTAGGCCTTTGGAATCGGGGAATTTACATAAACTACGACCCCTGAATCATCAAACAGAATGTGTTGGTTTTTATTTTATTCTTCCTCT